TGTAATATGTGTATATATAAGGTCTATATCATATGAATTAAATTAAATTATTTTTATATATGTACCGTATTTTAAACATTTATTATTTTAAGGTGTGTGTGTGTGTGTGTGTGTGTGTGTGTAACCTGCATGCCAGTGTTCATTGAGGCCAGGGGAATTGACTCCCCAGGAGCTGGATTTCTAGGTGATTGTGAGTCACCCTCACATGGGTGCTGGGAACTAAATTTGGGACTCCTACAAGAGTAGTTCATGCTGCTAACCACCTAGCCATCTCTCTAGTAAAACACACACACACACACACACACACACACACACACACACACACACACACACACTTTTTGATATCCACTATGTGTAAGTTACTGAGATGGAGTCAGGGAGTACAAAGATGGAAGAGATATTGTCCTCAGAAACTTATGGAGTTCGAGGATCAGGGACAGAGGGAGTTCAGGGCTCTTAAGTAGTAATGACCTAACTCCACCTTGAAATATGGTCCGTTTTAGTATAAAGTTTGGGGGTATTTAGAAGTGCTTTAACATTTTGCCTTCTTTTAGGTGTTGAGTGCGATGTCTAGAGTCAGGAGCTACGTCTTCTGATTTTGCTTTTGAGTGCACAGTGGCTAGGGTTACACATCAGGAATGCAGAGAGTGGAGCTAGAGCTGTGAATCATGTCCAAAACCTCACATCTGGTTTTGCAAGTTGAATTTGTTTTCTTGGAGTACTGTTATAACTGGTATTTGGATTATGAGGCTGCTCCTAAAAAGTCTACTACAATAAAATGGTGCATAAGATCCAAACTGCATCCTAAATACCGTGCATAATGGTGTTTCTTTGGATGGATGCACTAAAGACTACTAACCCAGATGCCAAAAGCCCATGGCCCCTCCTGATGCGGGGCTCTTCCTGTGAACGCTCAGGGGAGAGCAGGAGAGGCTAGATTCCACATGCTCAGCAACTCGATAGTTCCCTCTCTGAAAAAGACAAGCCTCTCTCTAAACCAACGATTGTTCTGAGCTCCTTTTAGACTAACTCTGCAAAGGACACCTGAGACCCATCTTGCCTTTCCCACCATGTGAAACCCTTAGTGTGGATAGCTTCTACAGAAGTCACTCTGCAATCAAACAGCACAGTGAGAACGAGACAGGAAAAGCAAGCCGATCAGTGGACTAGAACAAAGAGTTCAGAAACGAAACCACAGACAAACTAAGAGAAAATTTAGCATACTGTCATTAAGTTTCAGAGGGTACACAGGCATTCTTAAAAAAAAAAAAAAAAAAAGGTGCCCAAAGCAAAATCAGTACCGGGAAAGAACCATCATTTTAAATAACTTGTATTCACAAGTTTCTGAACACGGCACGATGAATAGTTCAACAAACTGTGAAAATATATTTTAAAGCCAGCAGAGACAAAGGACCGGCCTTCAGAATATAGGAAACAACAAGAAAGGGAGGGGCACCCCTGTAATGGAAAAGAAATGTAAAGAGGCAAATTGTGAAAGTAGATACAGAAAGAATGTCAAAGGCATGGAAGATACAGTCTCAAATGAGAGATGCAATGTAGAAGGGGATCACTATGCAACATAAAGAAGAGGGCCGCTTAGGCTACTGGTGGAGCTACAGATGGGTGTTTCGGGAAACAAGTAGGCAGTATGTATCACACTGAAAACAAACACGCTATTACCCAGAAATTATTTTCCTAGAGAAATTCTTGTAATAAGGGACTCAAGGAGACTCGGGTAAGACTGCATTTTAGATTAGTGTGATGCTGGTAAGAAAACTGAGAGACAACCTGAATTCACAGGGGAGTTGGTTAAATGGACCAAAGTATTTTCATTGTATGGAACACTACGGAGCCATTAAAAGGAGTGAACCAGACTTCTATCCATGAACATGGAGAACTGAAAAAGTAAACTCAAAGAACTACGATACCTTCTGTGGGATATCCTGTGCTTTCTATGAATGTGTGGGAAGATTGGGAAGGTGAAATGATTGATTACCTGGAGGCAAAGGTGGTTGGGGTGGAATTGGTGAGAGTCTTTCTAATGTTACTTGTAGCACTGAAGTTACTGAACAGAAAGAAAAATACGATTATATAAAAACTGGACCGCAGAAGAATTGTTTCATGTCACTGAACTCACACACGACATTCTCTAGAATGATACCCATTTCCTCAACCTAGGAGCGTCACATTCTAGTTTTAGAATGAATTTAGAAATTGATTGTTTTTCCTTTCCTCTTTTCATGACTCTTTCATCTGTGGGTTTCACATCCATGGATTCAATCAAATGAGGATTAAAAAAGAAATGTGGAAATCATACTTGTCTTAATCACGCACCGAGTTTTTTCTTGTCATTAAACAATGTAGTGTAACAACTATTCACACATTGTTTACATTGCATTAGGTGTTGTAAGTAATCTAGAGAAGAGTTGAGGCCCGAGAGAAGATGTGCCAGGGTTACTGGCAAAAGCTACATTGTATTATAGAAGGCACTTAAACTTCAGATTTTTGGTACCCTAGAGAGACTAGTTCCCTATAAACACAGAGTGCTACATCTGTATTAAACCCACCTGTTTAACATAGATGCACGCAGTATGAAAAACGTGGTGTTAGGAACATAAGTGGAACCATTTTGTGTAACTTCAAAACCATTTTGTGTGGCTTAGAATAGGCCTGGAAGCTTGCCACCAAGCAGCTCTGATAAGAGAGTGGCCTCAGAACAAGCTCTGATGTGTTAATGGACCAGCCATGCAACCCCAAGGTGGCATTGTTACGTGGGTGAGCGAGCCCTGATAGCCCAAAGCCACCACCCAGTGATAACAAAAATCGGAACTTTGGTAATGGTCTCTAGGATCTTACTGCCATATTCCCCAGACACGGTTTCTCCGGCCTCTTGTGTTGATACTCATTACCAGAGGACCTGAGATCGGCCTGTGTGTGGCCCTGGCTTCAGTGACCTTTGAACTTCTGGCACTATTGCTGGACTCACACAGGGCTGCCCACCTGTTAGCACTAGCCGCTGGCCAGGACCTTCTAAATCTCCACCAGTGCCATTCTCCTGGCCTGCCACAACTGAAGGACTCCACTGTGGAGGAGCCCGCAGAGCTCCTGAAGCGTCCTCACTGTAGAAAAATCCCCAATTGAGCCCTGCAGCTGTATTTTCTGCTCAATCAGCTGTTCCCCGCTTGCTAATATGTCTGATAGCATGGTATTACAAGGGATATTTGTGTGACTAAACCAACCATATTTGGAAGCCAAATTTTGTGTGGACATCCTAATTGCTGAACACCTCACAACCCACAGGTCATGCTCTCTGCAACAGGCGAGCTACTTAAAGAGTAGCTTCGAATGGATGCAGACCTGCTGAGACTCGGGCTGGAGAGGAAAGAATGGCCTTGGGGAGGACACATCATCACCGAGGCTGCCACTTTCTGAGCTTAGAATTCAGTGGGTCTAAATGGTGGTGTGATAACACGAGGAATTTTTGTTGTTGTTGTTTTGAGGAAGGGTCTCTCGATGTAGTCCTTCCTGCTGGAGCTTTATATATAGACCAGTCTGGTCTCAGACTCACAGAGATCCTCCTCCTTCTGGCTCCTGAGTTGTACTGGGATTAAAAGCATGAGTCACTATACCCCTTGGATTTTTTTTTTTAATTTAATTTTTCTTTAAACAGAGGTCATTTTGCATGAGGAAGAACCAGATCTTCGAAAGATCTGTTTTTATTTCGGCCTCCATGGGAGGAGCAGGGTGATGGGAGGCTGTGACGTTGCTGGGGACACTAGATCAGCTTTAAAGTAACCAGAGTTGCAGGTCTGCACGTGGAATTTGGCTTTAGGGTATGGCTGACTGAATCGCCAGTTACCCAAATCAGACCCACTTTGGGGGGCGGGGCTGAGGTAGAGGAAGCAGTTGGTAGCTGGCTTAGGGTCTAGACACCCCCAGTGTGCTGACATAAGTACCACCTTCCAAGCACTCTGCTTCCCATGTGGGCACAGGGTGATCAGTGCACACATCTCCCATCTTGTCCCTGGTTCTCCTTTTCAAAGCAGAAGTCTCAGAAGGTGCACTGCTCTGTGCTCTGAGGTCTGGCTTTGGTCACTCAAGATGTGTGGAGTGGACACCGTGTGCGACCACAAATCAGGGAGACATCCAGTCTCAAAACCAAGCTGCAAACAGGGGCTTTTTGGTGTGGTCATCAGGATGGTCAGGGAGAGGCCTTTGATGAAAGGCTCAAGACAGGTGGGGACAGGGGTGTAGACCAGGAGGAAGCTGTGAGGGGCTGACTCCTATCTCAGTGTCTGGGACCAGCTGGATTTATTAAACCAGTGTAGTGTGACATCTTGTGTATGTGTGTATGTGACTAGACTTTCTCAATATCATCAGCCCTTCTTACTGAAGAGTAACTAACAAAGCATATGTTTATACAGAAAGCCCACTAAGAGCCCTAGTATTCCAATTGGATTTGGGACGATTGTAATAGAAATAATCCACTGGCTGACGAAAATCAGTATTTGTCCTAGAACAACTTGGCATAACTATAACAAAGCCCTAAGCTGTTCTGGGGTAGCACTACAGAGTCTGACCTAGAACTCTGCTCAAGGATGGGGACTGATGATTTGGAAGCCTTCTGCAAGGCTGACGTAGCAACGTGAAGAGAACAGCAATTATGATTAACAGGGACTAGTAATGCTGGCCTGGGACTCGTCTGTATGTCCTTGTAACACAGAAAGCAGACACCTGGAGCCATGGCTTGTTATTTATGTTTGGGGGACTTGAGAAGACAGGAGGAGGAATGCCCAGAGGGAAGTTACAAAATTTCAGTCACATGATTAATACCTAAGTACTTAATGCAAGAAATCGCCTCCCTGGTAGAAGCTGCCCACACCCAAAATGACAGAGTTCTGCCTGAAGGTAGGGGCGGAGAAGCTTGCTTGGTGAGCGGGATGTACAAAGGACACCTTCTGCCTTCACATGCAGACTGTGGCTGGGGACAGCCGACTCACCTCCGTGTCCTGATGATTGATTTCACCGGGGCTGGACTGTTGCAGCAGGACTATGAGGAGCCTGTTGGGAAGAACAAGAGTGGTTCAATAGCACTGACAGCCATGGGCATTTAGAAAAGGCTTCCAAAGCACAGCATCAGGAATATAGTTGAAGGCCTCCGAACGAAATGAGGCTCTTCCCACCCATCCAAGAGAAAGACCTATGGGAAGATGTGAGCATAGAAAACAGAGAAGCACGTCTGTCTTCTCCAGCTTCTTGCCATCTTGGTGCTGCTGGGGACTGAGGGGAGGCAGGACAGTGAGACTTCAGCCTCACCCTCTGTCACCTACATAGTACTTCAGGAGCCAAACTCATGTGCTGTTGTGGAATACTCCTTTGCACTGTGTGAAGATATGTCTCTGTGATTGGTTTAATAAAGAGGTGAATGGCCAGTAGCTAGGAAGGAGGAGATATAGGTGGGACTTCCAAACAAAGAGATTTCTGGGAAGAAGAAAGGGAGCCAGATGGAGAGGGAGCAAGACAGGAGGAGAAGTAGAAGCATGAACCATGTGACAGCACATGGATGAATAGAAATGGGTCAATTTAAGCTTTAAGAGCTAGTTAGAAACAAGCCTAAGCTATAGGTGGAGCTTTCATAATTAATAATAAGTCTCTGTGCCATTTTTTTGTGAGCTGGTGGTCCAAAGAAAAAGCCTGTTACAATGTGCATGTTTGACTTTTATTACCTTTGCATAAGCATTTACAGTGCTTGTATTTACATCTTCACATACTGGTAAGACAGGAACACCTGAGCAGGAGATGACAGGATTCAGTGAGAAACAGGTCAGTGATTCTCAAATTCAAGTTCACTGGCCTGTCCTCGGTTGGCTGAGGTCAACATTCCTTCTGTGAGGGAGAGGCAGGGAGCTGCATTGCTTCTAGGGCCAGGCTCTGGAGCCAGACTGTCTGGGCTCGCATGTCAGACCCGCCAAACTCTGTGCTCTGAGGCAAGTTACTTCCCTTCTCTCTGCCTAAACTTCCTGTCTTTGGAAGCTGGTCTCACAGCTCAGTGTGAGGATTGAGTGAGGTAATATGCACAAAGCATGTAGACTATGGCTCAAACACGAAGTGTTATTTCTAGAATCATTAATCCTAGATTATGGAGCCTTGGTCCCAGCTTTGAACCACCAAGGGGATTTTTTTTTTTAAACCACAAACAGCTGGATTGTACTCAATGGGTCTTGGAGGCGCCTAGTCCTTACAGCTGAAAAGCACCTTTACAGGCCAATCTGGTAGATAGCCGTGTTTGGAAACCACTGAGAAAGTGCTGGTCACTGGCCAATGAACTCCCACCATAAGTGCTGAGGGCAGTGCAGGCAAAGAGGTTCAAATTGATTTTTATAAGAATCATTTGCAAAATGAAATTTAGTTCTATTTCCCCGATCTAGTTTCCCTATCTCTGTGTGTGTCCTATGTGTTCATGTACATGCATGTCCTATGCATGTACACAGTCGTGCCTTTGTGTGTGTGTGTGTGTGTGTCTGTGTGTAGGACAGGGGTGGACATCAAGTGTCTCCCTTAGCTGCTCTCCATCTCCTTGTGGAAACGGGGTCTCTCCCCGAGCATCGAGCTCACTGATTACCCAGGCTAGCCTGTCAGCGATCCCTAGTTGATTCTGTCCCCCTCACCCCTAAAGCTGGATTATAGATTTGAGTGGCCATGATTTTCCTTGGATCCACACTCAGGTCTTGGTGCTTGCACGGTAAGCCCTTCAGTGATGGAGCCATCACCCCAGTCTCTCAAACCAGTTGTCACTGTGTCTCCGCTTAGATGACATCTTAAACCCTATGTATTAAATTACCACCAACAAGAGAGGAGAAGGCTGATGGACCAATCCCGTTGCCTTTGTAATAGACACGATTCAAGGAGAGCATGAATTTGCTACAGATGGGAAATGGCTTTTGAAGCCTGGGTTTGAATCTAGTTTTTCCACTGTCTTCTGGAGGAGCTAAGCTGCTGCTTAGGACTTAATATTTGCCTCACTGCTGAGTGACCTTCCTATGCAAAACACAGGTAGAAAGAAGGATCCAGTGACTATACCAGGCTGAGAGTTCCTGACATAGAGATTTGTAGGAGGCAAAGGTAGGTGGATCTTGAGGCCAGCCTGGTTTACAAAGCAAGTTCCAGGACAGCCAGGCCTACACAGAGAAAACCTGTCTCGAAAAACCAAAACAACAACTCCAAACAAACAAATACATAATTGAACTGGGGTAGTACTTCTTGTTTCTAATTGTCTCATCTCTGGGTATATCTTCCTTTCTGGTTGCTGTATGGGCGGAAGTGGGGCTGAACTGGTGACTGTTTCTTCCCCGTGTCTCTCTCCAGTGGCTATGTTTAATCCCCAGGGCCCCTTGGGTCTCCTGTGGGTGCAGAAGTGGGAGGGGCGTCACTTAGAGATGAACTAAGGCATCGGCTCTCAACCTTCTAATTCTGTGACCCTTTAATACAGTTTAATACAGGTTGTGGTGACTGCCAACCATAAAATTATTTCGTGGGTACTTCATAACTGTAATGTTGCTACTGTTAGGAATCGTAATGTAAATATCTGGTATACATATGCAATTCCTGTGAAAGGGTCATTGGATTCCTTAAAGGGTCGAGACTCACAGGTTGAGAACCACTGAGCTAAGGATGGTATTACTTTCTCAGCTAGCCCCAAGTTGAATGGGCTCCTATGTACTCAGACAGGTTTTCTTTCCCCTGTGGATCCAGTAGAGAGAGATGGTTCCCAGGAAAGCAAGACTCAGGGACGATTTCAGTAGGGGTAAACAGATAAAGATCCCATGCCATAACCTGGGTGGACCCCCAAGGCTGTGGGATGAATCCATTTTTCTCTGCAGTCCCTGGCTCTCAGGCTGACCTTTGAAGATGGTATCAACGAAGACTCCACACATATGACTTTGTTGTTTCGTTAGTGAGAGTGTTGTACCCCAAAGTCCATGTCCCCAAAGACCACCAAGAGACCGATCCGAATGCAAAAGCAAAGAGTCTTTAATTCTCGAGTTTAAACTCAGGCCCCTTATCCGTCCATCACAGCGGTGGAGTGAGAGGGACCCCATGCAATAACAGGATGGGATTTTTATAGTGGTTAGGGTCGGGGGTCTAGGGGAATTCCAACGCTATGTACTGTGGCCACACAGCCTGCATCAGGCTCCTCTCCCAAGAAGGCCGGTGAGTTTATCTAGTGTCTTCCTCTCAAAGATTTATGACATTAACATTTCTCCAAACCACCATCATGCAAACCCATGCAATAACAGGATGGGATTTTTATAGCAGTTAGGGTCAGAGGTCTAGGAGAATTCCAACTCTGTATAGTTACAAGCTCAGGATTGGTGCTTACTTCAGGTTAGAGACGCTTAGTTTGAACTGATTGGAGAGTTGCAGCTGCAAGGAAATTGCCATATCCTCTAGCAGTTTATGTTAGTGGATCTATATTACCAGCAGACCCATTTCCTCCGATAGACATCCCATTTTTATCTGCAGGAAACTCATTCCCACTGATAGCTGTGGTATACAATTTATAACAGCAGAAAACATCCCACAGGACATATCTGGTACTTTATTCAGTATGCCAGTTATATTATATCATACCCTTTAGGTTATGGCAGAAAATGTCTGGAACTTGTTTTTGTACAGCTCCTAATTGCTGTGGATATCGTTCTGTATAAATAAAACACTGATTGGCCAGTGGCCAGGCAGGAAGTATAGGCAGGACAAGGAGAGAGGAGAATTCTGGGAAGTGGAAGGCTGAGTGGGAGAGACTGTCAGCCGCCGCCATGACAAGCAGCATGTGAAGATGCCGGTAAGCCACAAGCCACATGGCAAGGTATAGATTTATAGAAATGGGTTAATTTAAGATATAAGAACAGTTAGCAAGAAGCCTGCCACGGCCATACAGTTTGTAAGCAATATAAGTCTCTGTGTTTACTTGGTCGGGTCTGAGCGGCTGTGGCACTGGCGGGTGACAAGAGGTTTGTCCTGACTTTGGGCCAGGCAGGAAAGCTCTAGCTACACCTAATTGTCTGGATCTAGGGGCGGAGGGGCAGCCCATCCTCCGGTGGGTTTCCCAGGGCCTGCTGCCCCCCTGTCTGACCCTTCTCTAAGATGGCTGCAACCCTGTCATCCTCTCAGGAACATCTCAGAGAGGAGGGACAAAGTCAGATTGGCTTCGGGAAATGATTCCTTGCCCCCTTTTAGGTTCAGGGGTGGTAATGTCTTTCTGATCTTTTGAAGAACATGAGGTTTTTGTTTTGTTTGATTTTGTTTTTGTTTTAGTATCTTGATGTGTAACCCAGTCTGGCTTTGAACTCCTAGGTAGCATAGGCTGGCATCAAACTTATGATTCTCCATCCTCTCTCAGCTTGGGATAACAGGTATGTGCCATTGTGCTGGGTGAGTGGAGAGCACCACCTCTTGCCTGTTTCACTGGATATTCCTCAGCTGCTACCTTTTGGAGTCCCCTGTCTTCTCTGTCTGATGGACCAATCTGTGCTATCTAATTGTTTGATTTTGAAGGCTTCAAAATGTGTTGGTTTTCAATGTTGAACACAGATATCCAGATGAAGAGCACTTCCCCCTGCCCCTGCTAGCCCACCACAGTGTTTCCGGAATTCAGCCTGAACTCGAAACTAGATGTCCACTATGCAGCTTGGTGACCCTCGCTGTTCTGGGGTATGGAGTTAATCTGACTCAGTCCCCATCTGCCTCAGCTCTGAACCTCTTGCTGGCCTCAGTCTTGTCCTCCTAGAGTTCCAGTTTGACACTATGGTGGCCAGAAACATTTCTTCCACCATCTCCCCTGGAGCCTGTTCAAACTGGCCTCAGGTCTCAGAGCAGCAGCTCCTGACCACTACCTACCAGGTTTCAGGACAGAACACAAGGATCCCCAGCAGGTACTTCCTTCACCGGGGGCCATGGTTGAGTAATGAGAATACAGAAGCTTGCTATTAGAATCCCTGCTTCTTACCAACTAGCCAGGGGCCTTGGATGAGTTATAACACTCTCAGGACCTCATTTTCTTA